GACATTCATGTGAACATTTAGAGAATAACGGGCGAGCTTTCAATTGGGTGCTTGGCACTACATAAATGAATTAAATTCAAAATTTCGTATATATTGGAAACTATTATATTATTCAAATTTTTCATAGATAGAAAGAAATTGGCGAACTTTCAGTAATTTGCTTTGCATCAACATATTGTAAATCTAGAGAACTATTGCAGTTAGAATCTTCAAAATCGTTAAGTGGGTTTTTATTTATACTGCTTTTAGGGTAGCAAAGCACACTGGGTAAAGCTAGTATTAAATAAATTAATATGTCTATAGTCTAGTCTATAGCTTAGTCTAGTCTATAGCTTAGTCTAGTCTATAGCTTAGTCTAGTCTATTCTATAGTCTAGTCTATAATCTAGTCTATAGTCTAGTCTATAGTCTAGTCTATAGTCTAGACTATAGTCTAGTCTATAGTCTAGTCTAGTCTATAGTCTAGTCTAGTCTACAGTCTAGTCTATAGTATAGTCTATAGCTTAGTCTAGTCTAGTCTATAATCTAGTCTATAACCTAGTCTATAGTCTAGTATATAATCTAGTCTATAATCTAGTCTATAATCTAGTCTATAGTCTAGTCTATAATCTAGTCTATAGTCTAGTCTATAGTCTAGTCTATAGTCTAGTCTATAGTCTAGTCTATAGTCTAGTCTATAGTCTAGTCTATAGTCTAGTCTATAGTATAGTCTATAGTCTAGTCTAGTCTATAGTCTAGTCTAGTCTATAGTCTAGTCTATAGTCTAGTCTATAGTCTAGTCTATATTCTAGTCTATAGTCTAGTCTATAGTCTAGTCTATAGCCCAGTCTATAGTCTAGTCTATATTCTATTATATAGTCTAGTCTATAGCCCAGTCTATAGCAGAGATACAAGCCGAGACGGCTCAAATCGGCGGCGGCTGGCCGCCGGTAATATTTTGCAAGCCGCGCCGCCGCCGACTTCTTTCAGCCCAAAAGCTAAGCCGGCTTAAACGTAGCCGCTGATAAAGATTAGAATCACACATGTATTTCAGAACATAATTTCACCAAATTGAACGGAGTTGCCACTATTTGAAATTCTTATGGCAAATTGAAAAGTGTTGCCACACAATATTGTGCTAATATTAAAATAGTGAAAACTACTATAAATGTCCATTTTCTGAGGAAAAAACTTATATAGAGACAGGTTTCTATGTAACAGACTATTATACAAAGATTTTTCAATATAATAAACCTTATAAGGTCAATTTCTAAAGAAAAAGTTAAATTGAGCCGACAATTTAGCCGCCGCCGATATTTTCTGTAATAAGCCGCCGCCGCCGACCCAAAATGGTTGCGCCGCCGCCGCCGATCATTTCCCATCGGCTTGTATCTCTGGTCTATAGTCTAGTCTATAGCCCAGTCTATAGTCTAGTCTATATTCTAGTCTATAGTCTAGTCTATAGCCCAGTCTATAGTCTAGTCTATATTCTAGTCTATAGTCTAGTCTATAGCTCAGTCTATAGTCTAGTCTAGTCTATAGTCTAGTCTATAGTCTAGTCTATATTCTAGTCTATAGTCTAGTCTATAGTCCAGTCTATAGTCTAGTCTATAGTCTAGTCTATAGTCTAGTCTAGTCTAGTCTATAGTCTAGTCTATAGTCTAGTCTATAGTCTAGTCTATAGTCTAGTCTATAGTCTAGTCTATAGTCTAGTCTATAGTCTAGTCTATAGTCTAGTCTATAGTCTAGTCTATAGTCTAGTCTATAGTCTAGTCTATAGTCTAGTCTATAGTCTAGTCTATAGTCTAGTCTATAGTCTAGTCTAGTCTAGTCTATAGTCTAGTCTATAGTCTAGTCTATAGTCTAGTCTATAGTCTAGTCTATAGTCTAGTCTATAGTCTAGTCTATAGTCTAGTCTATAGTCTAGTCTATAGTCTAGTCTATAGTCTAGTCTATAGTCTAGGCTATAGTCTAGTCTATAGTCTAGTCTATATTCTAGTCTATAGTCTAGTCTATAGTCTAGTCTATAGTCTAGTATATAGTCTAGTCTATAGTCTAGTCTATAGTCTAGTCTATAGTATAGTCTATAGTCTAGTCTATAGTCTAGTCTATAGTCTAGTCTATAGTCTAGTCTTTAGTCTATTCTATAGTCTAGTCTATAGTCTAGTCTATTTACTATGAAAGGTTAATTTGTACTGCTACTTTTAGTAACAACACTGCACCGCAAAAGGGGGCTTCTTGTAATACTCTTATTAAGCTCAATTAAGTTTCCTTGTTTATACATAAATTTTATCTACAAGCGACTACTTGATATTTTCAATATTATTTTAATATATGCCCTGACATTTTACAAAAATATGTTAAAAGTATATGAAGGGGTGGTTATTACACAATACTTGGTTTAAGTCTTTAACCGCTGACAAATTTCCTACGATAAGTTAAAAAATTTATCAAGAAAATACCAACCGTATGTTGTTCATTTATATTATTTTTATATCATGGCCTTCATGTCCTTTTCTTATAAGTTTAGGCTATTATCCATAATAACTCCTTATTTTCTGGTATTTATGCAGACATACATATGTTTGTATGTTGTTGCCACACTCTACCTTTTGACGTGAAGGTATGTAGTATGTATGTGTTTTGTATCCTGTAGCCAGACATTTGTCTCACTACCTTTTATAGTTTGAATTGGAGGTTAGAGTGAATGTGTGGGTTTTATTTTTGGAAAGTCTTTCACTAAACGAACGTGCCAGTCTATATGGAGTTATTAATGTAATTATGTTGGTTAACTAAGCTTAACATAAATTGACATGGACAACGTTTTTCCTTTATACGTTTTTGTTTTTTATATATTTTTGTAGTTTTTTCTTTCCTTTGGTGGTGGCGGTGGTCAACTAAAATAAATGTCTATTTCCTTTTTATGTTGACTGTTTGTTTGTTTTGTAAGCTATAAAATGTTTCTGTCTGGTTTTCCGTCTGCCACTTTAATGTTGTGTGTGTGTATGGTAGTAAAAATATTATTTAATTAATTTATTTTTTATCTTAATGGATTAAAACAGTTTTTGTGTATATTCCTGGTATTTCAATTAATAAAAATTTATTGGATTAAGGTAGACAGACAGCAGTAATGTGATGCAAGTCGGGATATAAGGCAATAAGGAAGGAAAGTAATTTGTAGAACAAATTAAGGGGATTTCCTTATAGTAATGTAAACAAATTTCAGTTTTAATTGACATTAATAGATAATGTTGTTCAGTTCATTATTTATGTGGGTCTAGTTTTGTTTGTTTTAATTGAATTTGTCCAAACATTTTGCACTGTGGCAGATATGTCACAAAAAGTAAAATATTAAATTTTAATGTTTTTCTGAAAATAGTAAATTAGGTGACATCTGCAGTGGTAGCATTGGTACGATTTGGTTCATCAGAAATGCTCCGGAAAGATTTAGAAACGATTTGTAGAAGAAAGACTAAAGAAACGAACTAACTAACTCAACTAACTAACTAACTAACTAACTAACTAACTACTAACTAACTAACTACTAACTAACTAACTAACTAACTAACTACTAACTAACTAACTAACTAACTAACTAACTAACTAACTAACTAACTAACTAACTAACTACTAACTAACTAACTAACTACTAACTACTAACTAACTAACTAACTAACTAACTAACTAACTAACTAACTAACTACTAACTACTAACACTAACTAACTAACTAACTAACTAACTAACTAAACTAACTAACTACTAACTAACTAACTAACTAACTACTAACTAACTAACTAACTAACTAACTAACTAACTAACTAACTAACTAACTAACTAACTAACTAACTAACTAACTAACTAACTAACTAACTAACTAACTAACTAACTAACTAACTAACTAACTAACTAACTAACTACTAACTAACTAACTAACTAACTAACTAACTAACTAACTAACTAACTAACTAACTAACTAACTAACTAACTAACTAACTAACTAACTAACTAACTAACTAACTAACTAACTAACTAACTAACTAACTAACTAACTAACTAACTAACTAACTAACTAACTAACTAACTAACTAACTAACTAACTAACTAACTAACTAACTAACTAACTAACTAACTAACTAACTAACTAACTAACTAACTAACTAACTAACTAACTAACTAACTAACTAACTAACTAACTAACTAACTAACTAACTAACTAACTAACTAACTAACTAACTAACTAACTAACTAACTAACTAACTAACTACTAACTAACTAACTAACTAACTAACTAACTAACTAACTAACTAACTAACTAACTAACTAACTACTAACTAACTAACTAACTAACTAACTAACTAACTAACTAACTAACTAACTAACTAACTAACTAACTAACTAACTAACTAACTAACTAACTAACTAACTAACTAACTAACTAACTAACTAACTAACTAACTAACTAACTAACTAACTAACTAACTAGCTAACTAACTAACTAACTAACTAACTAACTAATAATAGATAGATATAGTCATTATCCCATAATTTTTGAAAATATTTTATTTTTATATAGTTTTCCAATTAATCCAGATTTTGTACTTAATGGGAAAAACAGTTATCATCGCAATATTATTCTGTAAGGTCCTCCTCCATTTTTTAAAAATATTGAGTTTGCAAGGGCCTTCTTTTTGATTTCGAAACCATTTTTTGGGGTTTTTTACGATTGTGTATTTTTCGGAACTACAACGACATATGAACAGATCGTTGCCAAATTGCACAATGACGGGTTTGTTTGACTGTTACAACTGTTACAAATGTTTTGAGAAAAGTTGTTGTAAACCTTCTCTTACGTTGTCTTCAATATCAAAACAGTAATAAATATACTCATGATATGTTATTTATAGGAACTTTAAATCTATTTATACTCATCACCAATTTAGTAAAGAAATTTTAAGTTAAAATCCCTTTTTTTAATATTTTTATACACAAATAATTTACTACATCACTTTTCTTTTTTCCAGCACTGTCCTACAACTCAACATGTTGCAGCAACACATGTTGACAACGAGCATATCATTAATAATAACAACAATAATAACAATAACACCACAACAGAAAACATAAATGGTGAAACCCCAATACAACAACAAGTACTGATTCATCAACCGAAACATACACACGAACAAATACAAGTTGATGCGAATACGAAATCAAAACAAAACCAAGAAAACGAAAATAAACAAAACAATAATTTCATTATTTGCCAGCAACAACAAAAACTTCAAAAACAGCTGCAAAATACAAAAACATACGAAGAGCAGACGAAAGAAAAAGAAACCTGCAAAAGAGAACAAGAGGAAATGAACACAAATGAATTCACCACTGATCACGCAGCGAATGAATACACAATGAACTGTCGTGGAAATGCACCACTATACAAGACAACAACAATTGCCAGCAACAATAGTAACAACATGACGGGCAGTTTATTTTACGATTCATCGTCAGCGATCAGTTTGACGCGTTCATTTGAGGCAAACACATCGTATACGGTTGGATTGACGGATGCCTATGATAGTTTTACAACGGATTTACAAGACGTAACACGTAAAACAACTGCAAATACAACAACGACGACGTATAGCCTAACACCTAATAAATGTTTAGCGGAATTGGAACGTTTGTATGCCGAATTTCGGGCCAGTGAAAGTTTACGTGAGCAAAAATTACGCAAATCGCAAAATCAACTTGAAACGTCGGTCGCTACGGAAAATATGCGTTTAAACGTGCCCGCGTCCACCTCTAACTCCGTAAGCCAAATGGCAACGGAGATCGGTGGCAAGTCAGTGAGTGAAACTAGATTAAATCCCAGTACAAGTAGTGTTTTCTTAACAACCACAAATAGTGTTACCACTATAACGAATCCTTGTCAGCGTACACCGAGTTTAACCATACAAGTGAATCAGAATAATAATAATAATTCCAATAATAATGTTAATAATCCAAATAATAATAACAACAACAATAATACAAATGTTAATAATGGAGGTGGTGGCCAATGTGAAAATAATGAATCTCTACAACAAAATCAAATTGTTTTAAATCAGGCCATAGTGAATACAACAACAAATGGTGTTAGTGTGATAAATTGTAATTATGTGAATAATGTTAATAATAATAACAACAACAAAAGTATTACAAATCTATGCGATAATGCAACAAATACAACAACAACATCCAATAATAATAATAATAATAATGTTGTTAATAATCTTAATAATAATCATTGTAGTCCTAATAATATTTCCAAAAATATCAATGATAATTCTAGTAGTTGTAGTAGTGGTAGTGCTAATAATGTTAATGATCCTACACATAGTTCAGTGCCTCAAGTGTTAAACGTCAATAATACAAATGATCAAGAAATTGCAAAAAATTACCAAAAGCATTTAAAAAATTCTCCCAATACCCAAGTGAAAGTAATACAAGTAAATGAAAGTAGTTATACAAATACAACAACAAACAATACTTCATCATCTTCTTCCTCGTCAACACCGACATCATCGCCACAGCGCACATTTGCCTCTACGGAGTGTCAAACGGATGATATATCAGCGGTGCAACTTAGATCACCATCGGTTGGTAGGCCGCCATTAACCTCGACTTCTTCGGCCAACTCGAATAGCACATCGAACAATAATCGTGAACAAAGACGTCGCGAAAGACGTGAACGTCGTCATTTACAACATACTGCTTCCCTATTGGTTACTCCCACTCACGCTCATCCCCATCCCCATAATCATGCCTTACGTCACGGCCACTTAGATCGTCATTCTATGCCGGCCCCTCCTCTACCACCCATTTTACATCCTCCCCATTTACATCCCGGTCTAGCCGGTAGTTTACAACAAACTGGCCATAATGTTGCCATGTTACGTCCCATGTTACCCGATATATTACATAATCATTTTCCACCTCCCTACAGTGCATTGCCACCGCCGCAGTCTATGACTACTGCTAGTGGTAGTATGCCACATCATAATGGATCTCCTATACCCTTTAGCCATCCGCATTCACATCCTCATCATCCTCTGCCACAAACACCGACCGCCACTATATTGGGGCCACCACCTCCACCGCCACCAGCTGGTACAACTCTGCTAACATCCGTGATATCGACGGTTCCTATACCGGGTGCAACACCAATGGTTAGTGATGGACGATTTACGCTACCGTTACCAATAATGAGAAGGTGAGTGGATAATCGTATTCGTTATTAAGTTATGTCGTTTAAACACCTATAGGGAATTCTGAATTTCAGTAACTCGGAAATAATAATTTAAGATATGAGTGTGACTTCAGGGCCTATCAAATATAAAGTATCGGATCAGAAATAAATTCACCAAATCAATGATAAGTTCGTACCACCCATCGAAGCTATGACAATATAGATCAGATTCGATAAGATACATTTTAGATCCAATCTGTAGGACTTCGGTACTTCAGTGGACAAAATGATTTGAACATCTAGCTTAGAATCTGAAAATAGGAAATAGAAATCAAAAAGTATAACAGATACAAGAAATAGAGAGAGGGATAAAGAATAAAACTGTCGTCTAAGGGACACAGCCTAGTTCCGAAATAGTGTAACAGATACAAGAAATAAATAGAGAGAGGGATAAGAAATGTTCCCCAATAGCACTAGATTCAGATGTCGAAGAGGTAATCGAAAAGGGGTTGGAATCCTCGCTACGGTATATCAAATGAATTGCCAGCCTATTCCACAGGTCTAAGCTACCCAGCCGAGGTATCCAATAACATAAGATTCAGATCTCGAAGAAGTAATCGTAAAGGGTTTAGTAGAATTGTGATTCATAAGGATAAGTAGAGGGGTAAGGAAAAATACTGAGGTCTAATCTAAATCTAATAACATTAGATTCAGATCTCGAAGAAGTAATCGAGAAGGGTTTGAAATCCTCGATACAGTCTAACTATTCTTTTGATAAGATTGGAATACATATCCTAGACACTTTTGTCTGAAACTCTGTATTCTCGGACAATGACAAATTGTGAGCACATTAATCTCTAGATCTTCAACATCCCCGCATAACTACGGTATGGTAATTTCTCCTTTACTTGTAAAAGCTATAATTGAATAATGTCCCGTTAAAACCCCTTAAGAGTCCTTAGATTACCTTTGTCCAGTCCAATAAGTATCGTGGTTATCTTCGCATCAAGTTTTGGCCATAAAGTTTTAGACTACTTGCCATCCCTTTACCGGTTTCAGGACTGGGGTGGAATCTATTAGAGCTCCTTCTATTTTTAACCTTGGTCCCTTCTATTTAGGTTTATGATCAAATGTTGTCGGCAAATTCCTCTCGCATATATACTAATTCACAGATCCATTGTTTCGAAACATAATTTTGACTAAATAGCACAGATGCTAACTGAGCACCTCTAGGTTAACATCGAATTTAGAGAAAGTTATGATTTATTTAGACTAAAGCCATCTTTGATCCCAATCTTATCCGGGGTTTACTATAACATGGGTCTAGAAAAATCATGGACTGATTCAAACCAGATTTATTGTGTTCTTCATCGCATTCTCTTCAAAATTAAGAACTATAGTTAAATTATAAGATTTACATGGAAGGACAGATGGAAATTGATACGGTTCTTAGATGTTTAGCCAATATTTCTGGATGTTACAAGCATCAGGGCAATCACATTATACTGTCCCCCCAAAAAAAATCAAAACCAACCGGTTTTGGTCAATACTTTTTATTACGAAATTTCGCAATTTAAATCACCAGCTATAAACCTTAATAATTTACATTTATAATGTTTTGCTTTACAAAACTATATTATTTAGGGTATTTCCTGATTAAGATAAATTATATAAATTTATAATATTTTTCTTAATTTGGCATAAAGAGATTTCTATCAAAAAATTAAATAATCTATATATATAAAAGAGTAGCGTTACTGACTGACTGATTCATCATCGCACAGCCCAAACGGCTGAATCTAGAATCATACAATTTTGACAGTAGATGTGTTTTTGGTTATATAGATCCACTAAGAAGGGATTTTTGGAAATTTGTACATTTAGGGGTAAAAAAGGGAAAAAACGGGTAAAACAGGTTTTCTTAGTTATCTTACCTAATATTAGTGATACAAGAGAAATTTTAAATACACATGTATCTACTCTTAAAATAAGCAGATGGGTGTCTGGTACTTTTTTGAAATTCGTACTTTTAAGGGGTGAAAATGTGTAACAAAGGTGATTTTGGTACCTTTTTTGGCTCTTTATAACTTTTTAACTAATAAACAAAATAAAATTTTTGTAAATATTTTGAATATATCTCCCAAAATTAAGAGACACCTGTTTCGTACTTTTTTAAAATTCAGACTTTTTTGGGTGTAAAAGGGAGAAAACTGTAATTTTGGTACTTTTTTTTAGCACATTAAGAAAACTTTTTCGATTTATTGAAGTATTCCTATTAAATTACGGACTAACTCTGTAATATTTATTGAAACAAAATGTTTGCTATTTCACTGGGGAAAATAGTACCAAAAGGAGGAAAAAAGGGAAATTTAATTTTATTCAAACTCATTGAGCCAATTTTTATAAAATTTTAAAAAGTAGTTTATTTACTCACACAAAACAAGCTATTGGCACATTAAGAAAACTTTTTCGATTTATTGAAGTATTCCTATTAAATTACGGACTAACTCTGTAATATTTATTGAAACAAAATGTTTGCTATTTCACTGGGGAAAATAGTACCAAAAAGGGGAAAAAAGGGAAATTTAATTTTATTCAAACTCATTGAGCCAATTTTTATAAAATTTTAAATAGTAGTTTATTTACTCACACAAAACAAGCTATTGGTATATTATTTTGGAATTCGAGTACTAAGGCCTATATAGGACCAAATTAGATTAAATTGTTTGGTACCTTTTTGAAAGCACAATTTTGCTGGAACAAATGATTGCTGATTTGAATCGTTTGAGTTTTATCTGTGATATATAGATTTAAATATGGAATATTTTGTAAACTTAATTCTCAAAAAAGTATATTTCTAAGCGAAAAGGGGAAAAATTGTACTATTTTTATTAGTACTTTCCACTAAGGTAGAATTTTATCCATTTTTGGTACTTTTTTCTTTCTTCAAATGATACTCTGTATGTTTTATAATATGAATTCAAAACACATAATCATTAAATAAGATTCTTTAAGAGAGAAATTTTTAGTACTTTTTATCTTAAAAATGGTACTTTTTGAATTGTCTAAATATTGAATACCGAAACATAAAATTTTTGATTAAATAAGAGGTATTTTATAGTACTTTTTTTTCAAATAGTAATTTCGAAAGCTAAACGAATAAAACTAAAATTACAAGTTTCTTCTTGAATGCGAATTTATTAACGTGATATTGAACGTAAAAAACTGAAACATTAAAACATGTTTAAATCAATTTGAATTTTCTATAAAAGTAAACAAAATTTTGTATGTATTTAATTTTGGTTAGGGTAGCGAAGCACCCAGGGTATGCTAGTACTTAATAATGAAATTTCACTTCATTAACTGAAAAGCTTAGACAAAAACTAAAACCCTAACTACCCCCTTTTTCCAATTTAGAAAGGAAAAGATGACGGGCAACAATAACAACAAAAATAGTAAAACAATATAGAAAAACAACACTAATACAATACAGCAAAAAAAATTAAGAAAAAAACTAACTTCATACTGTAGAAAAAGTCAAAACCTATAAAAATTAATGTTAAAAGAAAGTTTTTGATTTTGTTTGGAAGTTGTTGCTGTTAGTCTTGGTGCTGCTACTGCTGTAGTTGTTACCACAACAACCTAACGACTTTTAAGATGAAATTAACAATAACAACAGCAACAAACAACTACAATTTAGCAAAAATATTAAAACGTTTTTATTATTAGTTTTTGTGTTTTGGTTGGCTCATCCATCCCATTATCATCTCTAGAGGTGGTTTTGGTTGTTCGAAGACAATTGTTACCAAAACCAAAGAAATAATAAAAGTAACAACACGGGTGAGTGTTTCTTTGCACTAAGGTTAGTAGCACTAAATCTGTTGGAATACATACTTTTGGTTTTTATACACAACTATACATACTTAATTAAGTTTTTTTTGTTTTGTTAACTTTTTTTGGCTTTTAATTGTGAAATGCACTTAGAGAAAAGGTTAAGAAAAGTATATAAAATGCTTTAGTCTGAAAAAAGCAGATTTCAACATAGACTCCGACAGACGGACATCACCAAATAGATTCCCCGATCCATATAAAATTTTTCCTCTTCAGTTCTCTTAATTAGATTTTAATCTTAAATGTTTTTCCAATTTTCTTCAGTGTATTTTATTTTTGTTTTTTATTTATTTGTATCATTAATAAGTTAGCTAGATTTAAATGGTTTTAACAGCTGACATTTAGCTACGGGTTAACTGACATACCACAAACCAAAAGAAATATTCTACTACCAAAAACAAAATTTAACAAAAAATCTAAACAGCTTAAGCTTAAACATTGTTTTTTATTTTTTGATATAATTTTTTTTGCTACATTTCAAATTGAAATGAAATCATTTAAAAAAACGTTTAAAAAATCCGCACATACAAAAACTCATTAGTAACCAACACAACAATTGAATTTGAAAGTATTAATTATTTGTAATTACATGTGAATTATTGTACTTATGATTACAAAAAAAAAACAGTAAAGAAAAACATAAACAATATTTTAAATGGTTTCAGTGTTTGCTGACTCACAGCTCAACACACATATACATATAAATAAAAAATGTGTTGTTTAGGGACAACTATAGACTGATTTATAGTCCAGACTATAAACTGATCTATAGTCCAGATTATAAACTGATCTATAGTTCAGACTATAGACCGAGCTATAGCCAAAACTATTGACCTACATATATGTAGTCCAGACTATATACTGATCTCTACTCCAGTCTGTAGATTGATACGTAGGCCTGACTATTGACTGATCTATACTCCAGACTATAGACTGATCTATAGTCCAGACTATAGACAGATCTATAGTTCAGACTATAGACAGATCTATAGTCCAGACTATAGACTGATCTATAGTCCAGACTATAGACTGATCTCTATTCCAGGCTATAGACTGATCTATAGTCCAGACTATAGACTGATCTATAGTCCAGACTATAGACTGATCTAAAGTCCAGACTATAGACTGATCTATAGT